GTAGCCTTCTAATTATATGATATGTGCAAAAAGCAGCCTATAATGATTCATCTTCCCCTCAACCGTATTTCCTTCGTGCTTCCATATATTCAATATGCGTGTACTGCAATCAGTTACGAAACATATGAGAACCCATGACTTCACCTGACATCAAATTTGAAGATTACACATTTGATTTAAGCAAAAATGTCCTAAAATATCAAAGTATGATGACACTTTCTGTAGAAGACAAAAGGAGACTTTCTAACCACTACTAATGTTCCATACAAATGACTGCCAGGCTTTAAAGAAAGGTAAAATCCTCTGTATGACGTAGCCTTCTAATTATATGATATGTGCAAAAAGCAGCCTATAATGGACTCATCTTCCCCTCAACCGTACTTCCATATATTCAATATGCGTGTACTGCAATCAGTTACGAAACATATGAGAACCCATGGCTTCACCTGACATCAAATTTGAAGATTACACATTTGATTTAAGCAAAAATGTATTACGTTATGTTAATATGGATTATGGACTCGTATTTTGGCCAGAAGCAACGGTATGAAGTTAAAATGCATTATTGTTGGATTTGTTTCCTACAAACATGCAACTCTTTGCTTCACAAGATGTTAACTGATGGTCTGGAGTGGTGTGGATTATTGTGATGTTTTATCAGCTGTTTGGACTCTCATTCTGATGGCACCCATTCACTGCAGAGGATTGATTCATTAGTGAGCGAGTGATGCAAAGCTAAATTTCTCCAAATCTGTTTTGATAAACAAACTTAACCTGAGGTTGAGTAAATTTTCAGCAAATTATAATTTTTATGGTTCAATTCATTTCTTTCAATAACTCACTCCCATGTCATCCAAGACGTTCGTGTCTTTCTTTCTTCAGTCAAAAAGAAGTTAAGGTTTTTGAGAAAAACATTCCAGGATTTTTCTCCATATAATAGACTTCAACCAAGAGCTACAAACATGCAACGCTTTGCTTCACAAGATGTTAACTGATGGACTGTAGTGGCGTGGATTATTGTGATGTTTTATCAGCTGTTTGGACTCTCATTCTGATGGCACCCATTCACTGCAGAGGATTGATTCATTAGTGAGCGAGTGATGCAAAGCTAAATTTCTCCAAATCTGTTTTGATGAATAAACAAACTTAACCTGAGGTTGAGTAAATTTTCAGCAAATTTTAATTTGTATGGTTCAATTCATTTCTTTCAATAACTCACTCCCATGTCATTCCAAACCTGTATGAGTTTTTTTTTTTTTTTTCTACGGACCACAAAAGATATTCTAAAGAATGTTAGTATCCATACGGTTTTGGATCTCATTGACTATCATTGTTTTTGTTTTGTTTTTTCTTTTTCTTTTTTGACACAATGGAAGTTGGTGGGAACTGAAACTGTATACAGGATAGAACAACATGACTACTGTTGTGCTCTATTGATTCCTGGACGTGTTCTTAGAGAAAAATCACACACAGTACAATAAGTTGTACAGCAATATCCAGAGCTGTCATTGTGCTACATCAATACATATTGCATGACATGAGCACACTGTGAACCCAAGACACATAGCACTCTAGTGCAAAAACCAGGTGAAAAACACCTTTTGAGTTATAGTCGTTTTAAATCAGGTGGGAAAACCAAGACTGATGCATTTCTTTACATTCTGATCCACTGAAGAAAGCATGTCTCATGCGACTGACACTCCTGCCAAGCACTAGCCCACACACTGCAACACAGCACCACTGCAATAACATCTATGATACATGGTCATGAATGCAAAAGCATGCTGCTTTTCTATGATTTATTTCTAGAGCACCCCATCTGTCCATTGATTTGGTGGAGGCCAGCAAAGCTGCTACTCACTGAAAGTCTGGCTCGCTGTCAAAGCGTTTGTTTCATATCAATACAACTGAAATTAGATATATAAACGAGCAGTGTTGGAAGCATCGTGTTATGCAATCAGATTCTGTTTTTCCAAGCATCGCTTGTTAAATTTGCATCATAACATGCATTTTCTGATTGATGTGATTGAAAACCTTTTTCTTCCTCGTGTTGGGATAAATAGGGATATATTTTAGGTGTGCACGAAAACATGTTTTAGTATGCAAGAGAATGATGAGTATTATATTTCTAGAGAGTGTGAGAGACACGCACAGCGGGACAAAGACTTCTTTCGGCTTGCCCTGAGATTTATGTTTTAGAAACGTCAAAATACTGCTGGTAAGCAAAAATAAATCCGAGCACTTTAATGGAATCAGGTTATACTTGTTATTTGTAGCGAACAAAATGGCAGAATTTAGGGGTTGCATCAGAGCAGTGGGGGATTTGCTCTGGAGCCCGAGGTGCGGCCACTATGAACTTTCCCAATGCAATTTCATGGTACAGCCTATATACGATTGCATGTCTAGAGGTAAAGACTTGTGCACAGCAAAAATACCACTTCTGATGTGCAAAAACATCTGCAAGCTAAGCATAACACCTCAATTCTGGAGCAGAGAGTGTCTCAGACCAAAAGTGAGAAAATGTAGTCTACAAAATGTAACAGAATTACTTATATTATTGATATGATAATATAATCATAATTATATATAATATATAATATAGACAGGGAAAATATAAATCTACTGCATGCTTTTAAAAGCCACACAAAAAAAACAGGCACTGATAATTCTATTACAGCTGAAAAATGTCATTACATTTACATTTAGCATTTTAGCTTTTATCCAAAGCGACTTACAAATGAGGACAATGGAAGCAATCAAAATCAACAAAAGAGCAATGATATGCAAGTGCTATAACAAGTCTCAGTTAGCTTAATGCAGTAAATGTAGCAAGGGTTTTTGTTTTTAAAATCATATAATAAATAAAAAGAAAACCGATAGAATAGAAAAAGAATAGAGCAAGCTAGTGTTAGAGGCCTTTTTTTGCTTTTGTTAATTGTACCTATAATAAATAAAAAGAAAACAAATAGATAGAATACAAAAAGATTAGAAAAGCTAGTGTTAGTTTTTT